TCTCCCAAGTTTTGATACAATAAAGGCATCGGCGAATGGACAAATAGAAATAAAAAGTGTGAGAAGTACTAACCCAGGTAGAACATCATATTGGCTAGAACTTGGTTTCATATTAGCCCAATATTCGAATATTGAATATGGAATTACTAGATTGCACCAATATCAAACCAATTTTTCATTTCAATATTCGATCATCAATCCATTGCCAATATTTTGATAACATTGAAATTTTGTGGCCAGCCGATATCAATTTGTCAATATTTATTTGATATTGTAGGAATATTAACGATCACAATATGTCAATTTTCATGATGGGCTGATATTGCATTTCCAATATCAAATCGATCTTGGAAAAAAATATTGACTCAATATCCAATTTATGATGGTTAGTGAATATTGCATTTCATTGTCCAGCAATGTTGTAATAACATTGAAATTTTGTTTCCAGCCGATATTTATTTACCAATATCTATTCGATATTGGTAAAATATTGACGATCACAATGTCAATTTCCATGATTGGGCTAATATTGTATTTCCAATATTAAATCAATCATGGAAAAAAATATTGCATCAATATCAGATTTATGATGGTTGGTGAATATTGCTCTTCGTTGTCCAGCAATATTGCACTAATATTGGTGATTCAATATCATTTCGATATTCAATAATCAATCCAGTGCCAATGTTGTAATAACATTGAAATTATGTGACTAGCCGATATCAGTTTGCCAATATTCATTTGATATTGGCGAAATATTAACGAATACAATATGTCAATTTTCATGATGGGCTGATATTGTATTCCCAATATCGAATCAATCTTGGAAAACATATTGTATCAATATTTTGTATTTTTATTCAGCCAATATTAGTTCATCAATATGCGACCCATTTCAGATAGATATAACTAATGAAATATGCCAGAACCAATATTGCACTGACATTGGATTTCTAATATCGAATCGATATTCGTGATATTTCTCTTAGTATTTGAGCCACGTTATAACAGCTGGCGCCACTAGCACGCCTCCAACAAACGACTGCTGAGAGCCATCAAATACCGCATTCGTTCAACTTGCAAACTAAGTATTCTGGGATACAAAAAACGACAACGAATTTGATATTGTACAAATATCGCAATTTTTCAATGAGGCTAATATGGCTTCGAATTTTGATTTCGAGTTTTGTTGAAAAACGAAATTCAATATTGGTTGAATATTATAATTCAACATGAAGATAATATTGCAAAATGATCACATTCTCATTTTAGCCAATATAGTAGGAGAATATGAATTCAATATCGATTTCACACATGAAAATTATAAGAAACCAGTTTTCTATAAGTTGGCATCATATATTTGTCCAATCTTGTATACGAATATTAACTCGATATTGGATAGAGCATATCAAAACAAGATTGAAATTCAACATAGCACCAAGATTCCAGAATGTTCACATTGATTTTTTGACCCAATAATTAAAATCAATATTTTCCCAACATTCACCATTTATTGACTCAATATTGAACCAATATTAGTGTTCTACCTGGGAAATACCTCGGAGTTACTATAGATTCACACTTAAGATGGGATATGCACATACAGTACACATGTCAGAAAATTAGGGGGTTGATCTATAAGTTTAAAAAGCTCAAAGCCATAATGCAACCAAATGAACTGAGAATTTTGTATCATGGTCTTGTCGAGTCAATACTACAATATGGAATTATTGCCTGGGGTGCATGCGACAAAACAACTCTGATTTACTTGGAACGAATTCAAAGACGCATTCTTAAAATTATATTTGACAAAAAAAATAGATTTCTAACTATTTTACTATATAAGCAACACGGAATATGTGATATGAGGCAAATCTATGCGAAAGTATTACTTATATATGTCTTCAATAATAAATCTATCTTTCCACAAATTCAGCATAATATAAATACCCGCGCCAAACAAAACAATCATTTGAGAAGTCAAAGACCTGAAAAATCAATTGGGCAGAAAAATCTATTCTATACGGGTCCTAAATTGTATAATCTACTGGACACTGACATACAACAAACCAAATTGAAATTTGCGGCAAAAAAAAAGATCAAAAAATGGGTTCTCGAAAACTATGAATTGATTCACGAAAACTTGTAATGGATCATAAATTAATTTCTAGGAACTTGTATTTATTTTAGTTAATTCTCTGTGAATGTTTATAAAAGTATTTTTCATATCGGTGTTCGGATGGAATTGTCAGTCCATAATCGAGACGACACATTTTCTTTAATAATTGTTCCGGCCATCCAGATATGTGGATATTTTCTTATCTTCTTATAAATATAGGTGAAATAGTATGTATTTATCAGTCTATATAATATTCAATTAATTATTAGGGATAGCTCAAAGAGAGAGAAACTATTACTTCATTACTGCTCAAAAAGTTACAATAATATTGAATATCCACTTCCAGTCAAGAATCCTTAGATTCTTAAGGAGGTACCTTGCTTTATTCTGTAATTTTTAGATATGTATACTGAACAATTACAATACGTTGTTATATCGATAGCTACTTCTCTAAAATTTTTTTGTAATTCTCATAAAATTCGTTGAATAAAGATTATTATTATTATTATTATTATTTACCTATGCATCAGACAAACATTATGATATAAAAATAGTAACAATACAAATTTAAACTTTTGTTGAATAAAAACAATTTCCTCCCACCCATCAAATTGTGTACCCATACTTATAAAAAAAACTGTATACATAAATATCAGTCAGAGTTGATCTTGAGAGTTGACCAGAAATTCCTACCTGAATTTTCTACCAATATTATTTGACGTGAGTACATTTTGAATAGTCACAATCCAAATGTTAGATGTTAAAACTATAAAATTATTTTTCATCCCCATGTATAAGTATGTCTGATATGTTGTCTTTTATATACCTAGCATATTGTATCTTTTGTAGAATATTTTCACCTTTCGGCTGATGATGGACACTATTGATGTCCGAAACATCTTGTCCTAATTCCTTTTAGAAAATTTAACGTTGCGGAGATGATATTGTGTTTGTCTCTAATCACTCTCTACTTCACTCTACTTCGAGCTATGGAACAGATTGTGATCATAATTTATTTAAACAATTTTATTCTATACAATTTCTCACCAAATTCAATAGTTTTCAGGATATTAACGTTTGAGACGTGACATCGCAGTCATTTCAACACAACCGAAAACTTGAATGTTGCTCTCAATCAAGTTTACTATGAGAAAAATCGAGATATACAGTGTGTCCCAAATTCGATCCTCACCGTTGGGATCTCAGTAACTATGAGAGATAGGGCGGGTAAATTAGCAAAGTTGTAGCAAATTTAATGTTGAATCAGAATCTATCAAGAAATCCAGGCTAGCTTCAGTCATTCTTGAGTTATTTGAGAAAAAATGAAATCTTGTATTTTTGTTTTTCTAGAATATCTCTTTTCAATGGTTTTGACAGTTTTCCATCAAAATGTCAAATTTCTGAGATATCACCTACAACTTCGGCTTTTCTTATAGACGCCATATTGGATTTTCACAGAATTGAAATCAGCATGAAATTTCCTTTCTAGTGATGTATCACAGTCACAGTTTTATCTTATAAGGAGTACTGATTTCCAATTTTTGTTTTTATGTCCCGTAGGCTATGCGCTAAACTCCATAAACAATAACGAATATGTGTTCTGGTACAACTTTCATAGAGTAGGCTTGATCTAGGCATCTTAGAGCCAAGTGACATTTCTGTAAACGTCAAGAGAAAATACAAGTAAATTATTTGGGGGCAAACAATGCCGTTCACAAAAACCAGTGATAGTACAAGGGTTAAGACCTGGTGATAATGAACGTCGTCTCAAGTTTTGTCACTGGTTCGTCAACCAGTGTGAAAGAATCGATATCGATATCTCGAAAATCAATTTGGTGCTAAATTAATTACTACTCATGGACCTGTAAGATGGCCTCCAAGGTCGCCTGATTGTACGCCTCTCGATTTTTACCTGTGGGGCTACGCCAAAAATACAATTTATGAAGAGCCAATTCAAGATATTGATGATCTACGAGAGAGTGATGGACACATTCCAGCACATCACCTGAGTTCATCTGAGAAAAGCAGCGAATCATATGTTCGGTCGCGAATATTAAAATGTATAGAGAACAATGGGGGCCATTTCGAGCAGTTCAAAAATACAATTTATGAAGAGCCAATTCAAGATATTGATGATCTACGAGAGAGTGATGGACACATTCCGGCACATCAACTGAGTTCATCTGAGAAAAGCAGCGAATCATATGTTCGGTCGCGAATATTAAAATGTATTGAGAGCAATGGGGGCCATTTCGAGCAGTTCAATTAATTTTTTTTGTACTTGTATTATCCACCTGTTGAGTTATGCAAGAACATAGAACACAGATTCCATAATCTGAGGTAAAAGTTATGGTGGAGTGAAGTAGTAACTAATAACACAACATAATGAACTGTCGTGGAGATAAAAGTTCGAGTTTTATTTATTTATTAGTTATATCCTACTGGACATAAAAACAAAAATTGGAAATCAGTACCCCAAATGAAATGAAACTGTGATTGTGATATATCACTAGAAAGGAAATTTTATGCTGATTTCAAATCTGTGAAAATCCAATATGGTGCCCTTGAGAAAAATTGAAGTTGTTGGTGATATCTCACAAATTTGACATTTTGATGGAGAACTGACAAAACCATTGAAAAAAACACCACAAAGTACTTTGAGAATGTTGAAATCATTTTTTCATTAAATACGTCATTTCGCAACTTTAAGCTTCGATATTTTCTTGAAAAAGATCTTCTATTTGAGCCATCTTCATTTTGTTGCGATATACCAGGTGGTTTAGCAGATGCTAGGAAGTCTAGACGGGTACTGCTTATTATTTTATTACTACCTATATTGTCTATTGATCAACAGTGTATAAACGTACCGATTTTTTTCTAGCTCCAAAATGTTCGGATTTGCTATATTAGCAGCACTTATGGGTCTTGCGTCTGCGCAGGTGAGTACTTAAGTAGTTAGTCTCAAATACTTTATTTTGTAGGGGATTTAAGCATTTCACTGACACTCATCTCCATCATCATAGAGAGTGTTACAATCATTATTCGGTAGTTTTGTCGAAATGTCACATGCACCTGAGATATTGCAGTAGTCATTTGATAGTTGGATGTAGGAGAGTGGACACGCTTGTCTCAACTGATATTTCCGAATTGTCATCATTCTCAGGTACAAAACGTCAGTTCTAAAAATTGAGTAGGCGTTCCAGCGAAAATGTCTCATTGTTCGATAACGAATTGCAAAAATTCTAAGAATTATGGTTTTTGAGTTGCCCAAAAACGAGATGACATTTCAAATGTTTATTTATAACCATATATGTTATTTTTTCATTACTAACGTCATTAGGGGTTGGAAAGTGTCACATTACACACCTCTACTTCCCGCCGTCACTTATATATTTTAGGTTTGTTGAGGACGAAACAGTATCGTCATTATTTTATCCTCGATTATTCTGTTTACATATAAAATATTGAATAATTTTATTGGTTCACCAGATTGCACTGAATATTTAGTTTCGAACTGTAACCCAAGATTTGTGCGAAATCATCTCACTTTCTACCCACCCTCTTATATAACTAACTATTATGGCTACTTTGTTATAAGTTTACATGTTACTTTGTATCTTCCTATCAAAGGATGGACCAATAAGGTTTATCTGCTTGAATGATCCACAAATGAATAAATGAATAAATAAATGGATGTTTCTTCTGAAACGGGACAAAAGTTTGAAATATCATCTCTGTTGACAGGTTTTAAAATGTCACTTTTCATGAATCACTTTTTTCCCACGGAAAAAGTGAGTACTTTTTTCCCAGATATATGTCACATAAAGTTATATACAATGTTGATGACTGTTGTTGTGCTATAGTTCCGAAAAATAAGCCAATAACATCGTCTCCGAGAAAGTCCTTTTCTTCCATCCTATATAAACTACCATCAAAACGATGGTTATTTTCTAATTAATGGTTGGCTTGTGTTGAATTAGAAGAAAACCGAAACAAAAAAAAAATAAAAATCTGACAATAGGCGTTCTTGTGTCGTGATGTTCTTCATGGAAATCACTTTCAACCATCGTGTATGAGCATCAATTATAATAAGCCACATTTTCCCTTCATAGGGACCAGCCAAGTCAATATGAATTCGAATCCATGGTTCAGGCTGGAAACTCCATAAATATGAAGGAACATTTGTGTCATTTTGCTTCGATTCTTGACAAGTACAACACGCATTTATATGTTTAACTAGATCCATATTTATATTTGGCCAATAAACATAGTATCGTGTAATGGATTGCATTGCGCTTATTCCTGAGTGTCCATTATGCAAAATACCTTTCCATAATGATATACCTTTTCTCCTGGAATGGAAGCTGACGTTTCTAATAGAATGAAATTATTTCTCCGGGAATGTTCTTCCTTTCCGGCCAATAATAATTTGAAAATCTAACAACCTGCTGAAATCGTTTGTCTCTAATTGTTCCGTCTGTGAGTAGTTTTTGAATTACTGGAAGATTTCTCATACGTAGAGGAAGAAGATGGCGTCGCTTCGGTAATCCTATTTCTTCGGAAAGAGACAATTGGGAATTCCCTGAAGAAGGACGTGAAAGAGCATCGACTGCAGAGTTATATTTGTCACATTGATAGACCATTGTAACTGTTCACTAACATAGCCCATCAAAGTAGTCTAGTGCACGCAAGTTTTGGTGTCTCTGTTTTCTCCAAAAATACGCTCAAGAGGTTTGTGATCGGTTATCAAAAGATTTTTGCGTCCATAAAGATATTGGCGGAATTTGGAAACGGCAGAAACTAATGCCAATGCTCCTTTATCTATCGTAGCATATCTCATTTGCACGTCTGTGAATATACGAGAAGCAAAAACTATGGGATTCATACTCCCATCTGCAATGTTGTGGAAAAGAACCGCATCTGCGCCCTTGTTACTTAAGTCGCTGGAAACTATCAATGGTAAATCATGACTTAACACCAGGGTGTCATTTGAGGTGAGCATATTCTGGAATATCTTCTCATCTTCAACATTCCATTTCCATGATTTACCGTTTTAAGAAGTCGATACATCTGACATGTTATCTTTCTATAAATCTCCCATAGGTGATATAGCCCAAAAATGACCTCAGTTCACTGATATTCGTTGGCAAAGGCATGTTTTGGAAAGCATCAATGCGTTCTGGGTTGGGATGGAGTCCGTCACAATCAATTTTATGTACTCAGTAGATGTCTTGGAGCTATCGATGCGAAACTTCTCGTGAACGCTGAATGTGTTGTGTCCTATTAGGTGCTGTTATCAAGATGTCATCTAAAAGTAGCAAGCTACTCTTTCAAGTCCAGGAAGTATTTGGTCCATGGTTCTCTGGAACACTGCCGGCGCGAAAGATACGCCAAATGCCCAGTCAACACACGGACATTCGATGGACATCCATTGGACGTCCATTTAGGATATTTGGGATATCCAGAGAATATCCAGTGATATCCGATGTATATCTTATGGACGTCCAATGGACGTGCCGAGTGGAAGGAGTTGGACTTCTATAGGATATCCTTCAGGGACATCCATAAGACACTTTTCAGGGATATCCATAAGATATTGTTCACAAATATCCATAAGACATTTTTCAGGGATATCCATAAGATATTGTTCACAAATATCCATGAGATATTTTTCAGGGATATTTACTAAATATCCTTAACAATATAGAACACCATGTATATTATTCCATAATGAATTAGGAACTATTATAACGAATTCAACGGTACCGGATTGGATAGGGTTATTTCAAACGATTACGAAGATATGGCATTCGAAGTTTTCATATGCTCATTGAGGATATGGAAATGTGAATATCTTTCTAATCGTTTGTAGAAATCCTATCAAACACAGTATCGTTGAATTCGTTATTATAATCCTTAACCGATTATGGAATAAAATACAGGGTGTCCCGTTTGAAAATGCCATCCTCGGTTAAACCAAGAGTGCGGTAAAGCAAGTAGATATGTCGAATAATATAAAATGAACTATATAATTCATGACCCCAATTGACGTTTTACTACCTACAATAATGAAAAAGTAATAGGAGTGAACCACCTTATAAGCTTTAGCTCATACCTCATGAAAGAATTCAATTTACCATGACTTTCGACATGGATGCATTTTTAGACCAATCAGAACGATTCTAGCCATGGAGGTTAATTCGAATTGAATTCAATCTTTTGAGAGATAAATAGAGGAGGCGAGGGGGCCGGATTTGAATCGCGTTATCCCTAGCGCAACAATGAAGCTATTTTCCGAAATGCTGTTAAGGTGAATTCAAGAATTAGATTCACTTAGATTTTTCCATCTTTCTTTTGGAAAATTTGTCATTCACGCGAATGCCATATTGATTTATATTTTATTGCTTCAGAATATTTTATTACTATCCATTGGGGAAATACCTACCCAGTTTTGAATTCAGGAATGCGAATATATCTTCTCATGGATCTCCATCTCAATCCCAAGGAAAAAAATGGAGATACAAGTTATTTCTGAAAAATCATATTTTTGTGCGAAAATGTTGAAGAACAAAAATTATTTTGACATAAATATGATTTTATGTTTTCTTTGGATATCTTATGGCTATCCATAAGATATCTTCTGATGGATATCCGCTATAAATCCATGGATGAATATCTCATGGATGTCCATCTGAAGACCACAAAAAAGTAAATATATGAGAGCTATTTTCGAGTGATTGTATATTTTTGTACGAAAACATTGAACAACAGAGAAAAATTCCAAACTGTGGTGTTGTTATTTATATGAATTCATATTTGCATCTTAATTGTGGCTATAAACATATTATACCTACATAACAATAGTTATATGATGGAAAACTACCTTTGAATTTCTAATAAACATGTGATTTGCATGTGATATTTGTGATGATTCGTATTGTTTTGAACCATTCTCGATTAACAATTTTTGTTCGCTACACGAACATCTTATGGACGTCCATAGGTGATCCGCATCAGAATATCCATTTGATATCCTCTGACGGATATCCTATGGATATCCATTTCATGTCCCAGGATATCCCGACCTGAAATGGACTTGAGAAGGATATCCATAGGATATCCTGTGTTATCTGGGTGGAAGTCGCTTATATGCATAATAGCCACGATGCGTTATGATTATTGAAAAATTCAGAAAATCTGGATGTATTTTGAGCTGCAGGTAGGCATCTTCAGAAATCAATGGCAGTAAAATGTTTTCCTCCACCTAATTTTGCGGTCATATCTTCAAATCTTGGCAGTAGATAATTATCGATTTGAACATGAGGATTGATTGTCACACGGAAATCTCCACATATACGCAAATTTTTCTTAGATTTTATGGTTATGACGACTGGAGAAGCCCATTCGACAGGAGTACATGAAGTGTCGATCGGCTCTATCACATCGTCATTTAGAAGTCTATTAATTTCGGCGCTCACTTGCTCTTGCTAAGGCATCGGAATATTTCTTGCTCGAAAAGATTTCGGAATATCATCAAGATGTTTATGGATCTGTGCTGAGTAACCTTTGGTGGCTCCCAACTGACCATTGGAAAGTTCTTTGAAACTCTGATAGCAATTTTTCAATCTGTGTTTTCGGTTGCTGAATGATTTTTAAATCTTTTTGGAAAATACATACCTCAGAATCATTCTCAGTTCTATTTCAGATGGAAAGCTAAACACCTGTCTAGTCCAAATAGTAGAAAATCATCGGATTGTACCACATACAAAGGTAGAGTCAATTGATTACCAAAAGCTCTAACGTTTATTATAGCTACATCTTAGGTCGGTATTTCCAAATCTGTGTAGGCAATTAGTTTTTTTGTAGGTTTCAATTTGGGTTTATCAATAGTCCTCTGAAGTCTTCTTCCTATGAAAAATGTGCTGCTCTGGTATCGTAG